CATAGAGTATTGCACTACTTTTACTTGAATATAACCATTTATGTGTATTAGTAAAATAATAATCAATATTAGACATATCTTCAATATTAATTTCAATATTTCCAAGTGCATGTGCTCCATCAACAATAACAGGAATATTATATCGATGAAATATTTCTACTAATTGTTTTACTGGTAATATAACGGCAGGATATGCAGATACATGACTAAATATAGCAACACGAATATTGATTGAAGATGCATTAGCTTCTAATGCAGCAGTTATTGGTTGAATAAAAGATTCAGGACCTGTAACTGGCCATTGAATAGGCACTTCCAATGTTTTAACACCATAACGTGAACCTAACCATTGATATAAGCCTTTAAATGGACCATAAGCAGTTGATAAATCTAAAATATAATCTGATGATCCTAATGGTGGATCTAAATTTCTAATAATAGCATTAATTCCTTCGCTTGCATTATCAACTAATACAGTATCCGATGTATTTTTAATATTCATCATTTCTGCTAATCGTTGTTTAGCTGATATTATACATTTACGATATCCTGTAGCACCATTCATCCATTCACGCTAAATATTTAAAAATAAAAAACAAAAATAAACTATTTAAGTTTGAAAAACACTTACAATAGAAGATTCCATTTGTTCAACATATTTATATTGTGATTCAACAACAATTTTTGCTGTACCGCCATAAGCTCCATGATTCTAACGAAAAATATGCAAGGAAATATTTGAAAAAAAAATGAATACATACAAACTGATGAAATATAGTACCATTTTTAACAAAGAAAAAATCATTTAATCGATCATTTCCAAATGGTATCGGATCTTTGATTGAAGATGATGATGAAACTAATGTCGAAATAAGTAGTAAAAACACAATCATCATATCAGTGCCTAACATGTTGAATGACGTCGAAATATCAAAGATTACCATAAAAACATTATCATGCCCTTCTGACACTGATAAACACACCCCTCCTATTTTTCCTAGTTAAAGGTATTCTGTTAGGTTATCATTGTGTATTTTTTTCAAACATTAGATAACAAACATAAAAAGATGAGGTAGTTTTTTAGCATATATATTATTAAAATTTAAGACAATACAAAGTGCATGACTTGTTAAAGTACGTCCTATTGTCTCTAATAAATTTTATGTATGTTTATTTTAAATAATATTCTTCATTTTTATTGCGTTTGTTTTTGTACGTAAAATTAAGGAGAGAAAGAAAAAGGAGTTTTGTTCTGTTTCTGTTAGTCAATATCAAACGATATAATGAGTACTCGAAAAAAGAAAATACAAGAAGACAAATTTGACAATACTAAAAACTAAAATCACATCACAATACACAATAGAATATTATAAGAGTATGAATAAGCCTCACTGTTTAGTTGTCCTGAACTTACATGCATATGAAAAAGAAAAGAAAAGAGAAGAGAAGAGAAGAGAGAAACATAATGAGATTCAATAAACACATTTGTGAAAAGATATAGCAGAAAGAAACAAAAATTCAGTTGAAGAATATCAGTACAAAGTATTTTCGTGTACATAGTAGGAATTAAAAGATAAGATGAGCGTGCACTGAGCATGATATATGTATGTATGTATGTCTGTTCGCGTGTATAAGTAAAAATGTCTTTTTTTTTATTACACTTGTTTGTCTTTAATTTTATACAGTGACTGTCATTTTCTTTTGAATATCGTCAATTAATGAATCACCGACACACTAAAATAAAAGAAAATAAAAAAATAAAAACCGTTTGTTTTTTGTTTACACAAATTCTATTTTAATTTTTCTATGACTGACAATAACACGAAACACATAGACAATACAAAAACTTTACCGATCATAAAAAGAAATTTTTTTATATTTTGATGTTACTCGGCAAACTTATATTGAGCTCATATGTAGGGATAAACTAGAAGTAATGATAATTTTAATGATTTATGGAAATGATTAGAATAAAATTTTAAAAAAATAAAATCATATTTTTAACTTACAGCACAAAATTCGTCAAAACTAATTTTTCCATCACCATCTTTATCGGCATTGATGATTGTCTGTTTACAAAAAAAGATAATATTTAAAAAAAGATATATTATTTCTATTACTTTATCAACAATTTGTTGTAACTGAGAATCTTTTAAATTTGAGCCAACCATCATTTTTAATACTTGAAATAATTCTCCTAAAAGATATAAAATTAAAAGTATTTTATGTTCGTGTTCAACTTCAGATAATTTCAGCAAATTGAAAAGAATTTATCTGTTTGATAGATACACAAATTAATATCAGCTCATATTGCAAAACGAGTCTGCACTAGAAATCAGACTAGTTCGAATTGAGAGCGTTAATTATTTAATGATGACATATAGTATCGAACTTGTGACTTACTCAGTCAAATCTTTTTACCATTCAACTAAAACTGATTTAATAATACGAAGAACTTTCTTCTAGTATACACATATGATAGATCAAATAATAATGTAAAACTTTATATTTACCATTCGATATATATCCATCTTTATCCATATCGTAAATTTTAAAAGCAACTAAAAAATTTAATTAATAATTAATTTCTATTTTTTTATTTCTAAAAAAAAACATACATCTTAGTTTTGATTCTTTATCACCTTTAACACTAAATTGTGAAATTCCGCCAATAAATTCTAAAGACAAAAAAAAGGACGAAATTTATTTTTTTGACCTTGAAAAATTTATCTATGTTAACAATACCTTTAAAATCAATTTCACCATTTCCATCTGTATCAAAAATATCAATAACACGTTGTACAAGTGGATTTTGTTGTAATTCAGGTATAGACATGAATTCTTGTACACTCAATGAACCACTACCATCGACATCTAATTTTTTAAAACGTTTACCTAATCGACGTATTTCATCCGCATCGACTAGAAAAAAACAACAAAAAAGAAAATAACATATTAAAACGAAATAAAAGAAAATTTTACATGTAGCACATAGCTCGACGGGAATTGATGTCATGTTCCCCTGAATAAATATAAAACGTTTCAAATATAAAACAATCATTAGATTTCTATACATACCATGTTTAAGTTTATATAGTATCTTATATCAGTAAGGAAAAAAAATAATAAGCTTTGACAAAAAACAAATAATCTATAAATATATTATCATAAATATATTCTGTTATTTTTACCATTTTATACATTGGTGTCAAAGCCTCAATTCTGATGAAAACTTATCGTTCAACAGATGTCGCTTATATTAAAATAAATATAAGTAGACAAAATTCTTTCGTAATTAAAATATTAAAAAAAAATCATATGCTTCTTTTTTATATACGAAAATTTATTTATTTGATTTTTAAAATTATTAAATTTATCTTTGGACTATTCTTATCATCCGAAACAATCACAAGTATTAGATAGTTGTTATACTATTCGCTTATGCGCATTTATATTTTATTCTTTCTATTAAGTCAGTCAGTCAGCCATTTCAAACGTTTTACATAATAATCATTCGCCGCCTGCTCATGTTTATAGTTTACAGTACATTTACTGTTACGTATATATATTTATTTTAGATCTAATTCTTTTCCCATTAATACAATAATGTCAGAAATTAGTATACCGCGTTCAATGACTCATACTGATGAAGCTTCATCACATGAACAACAAGATCAAATTGTATTTGAAAATGTTGCTGATCAATATGTCAAAGGTGATGATGTTACAGTACATTTTATTATTTCAAACAATATTATGATTGATCTAAGTGATGATTATATTGGTTTATTACGTGTATGTTTTTTATTTTCTAATTTATATAAGAATAAAAATGTATTATTTTAAATTCAGATCGGTTGTACACATATGGAAGAATGTTTAGCTTATGCACCGGTACAATTTATTTCATCAACAGCATCGGAAACAACTCGTCATGGTACAGCTGTATTTCCGTCAACATCCTTACCAACAACAGAAGATGAATTTTATCAATTTTCGTATCTTAAAAATAAACGAAAATGTCTTGCTTCATCAATACCATTTCAATTAAATTGTTCAATTGATGATATTGATTTATTATCAAGTACAATATGTCAAGCATTATTAGAAAAAAAACCAATGAAACATATTAATGATGGTCTTATAACATTTGCTGATCAAGATAATGATGATCTTGTTGTTGTACATACAACAGGAATGTTAATTGAAGAAAAATTACGTCAAGAAAATCAACAATTATTAGAAATTAATCGACGTTTAGAACAACAAAAAGATGAATGTAAAGCAAAATTCGAATTGTTAGATATTAAATCTAATGAATATATTAATAAAGTTAAAAATGATATGCAAGTAAGAAAATAGATTCATTTTGAATCAAGGACGTTCGTTTAATTAGAAATAATTACTAAGAAATAGAACGATTATGACATTAAATTTGATAGGAATCAAATGTTGTTATCGAGAATAATGTACACTTTATGACAATCGTTGATTGAAATTTTATTCTATTAGATTTAATACATGTGAAGGTTTTTCTATAATATCAAGGATTACAAGCGGTGTAATTTAAATTTAAAAGAGCGAGATATTTTAGAAATAAAAATAAGAGCAACTTTATACATACTATGTATATATTAAACTATTCAACGAGATTTCAGTACAGAGGCGTACCACCACGCGGGGGAGTAAATATTTAAAACTGCATTTTTCTGGAAAATTTTTCGGAATTTAACTGGGGAAATTTTTGTGTTTTGGGAAGATTCTGCACTTCTGTTTCAGTACTTTATAAAATGAAATTGTTTACGTAAGAAGTTATTCGTTAAAGACAAAAACTAAAGTAGCACTAATCATTATATTAACCGACTAGTAACAAGGAAAAGGATCTCTCTTTATGAACTATTAACTCCATTTAGTAATACGAAAAATATTTAGTAGTTAATATACCGGTGTTGTCAAGAAATTCGAAACAAATTTACTTGAGGTTTATTAATCATAGAAGATACAACAAGTAAAAGGTGTAGACACATTAGACAGAATCTCATTGACTTATTTCTTCGAAGCCACCAGTAGTGAGAGTCCACCAAGAAACTCGGCACGATCGATGTCGTCGTTGTAGCAGCAGCGGGTGTTTAGGATGTGGGTGGGTGGGAATGTATAGCTATGGACTACTTTTCTTCTACACCAACACCTAGTTCACAAAACCTTTCTAGGTGGTTTATTTCTTTTCCGGATTACTTGAAATATCTAATATATACATGTATCATTTGTCTTAGCTTCTTGCTACAACTCATAAAGCAACTATTGATGAATTATCAACACGTCAACATTTAGAAGCTAAATTACGTGCAGAATATGATACTTGTCAAGCTTTATGTAGTCAATATCAATCTGAATCTTTACATTTTGCTGAACGTTATCGCACATTTGAAGATTCAAATGCGCAATTATCTAATGAAGTAACAAAATTACGTTCACAATTATCTATTTCAACACAATTAACTAATGAACAACTCGTACAAATAAAAGATTTTGAAAAGCGTTTATTACAATCCAATGAATTATTAAAATCAGCTAATCAATATAAAAATCAATTAGAACAACAATTACGTGATTTACGTTTAACAACAGAAAAATATCAAATATCTATGCAAGCACAACTTGATGCTTATACAAAACAATCATCACAACAAGAAAATCAAATAAATGCATTAGAAACAGCAAATAGTTTATTAAAAGACGAATTAAATTCACTTAAAGCTGATAATACATTTTTATTAACAATGGCTAATGATGATAAACAATTAATAAAAGATTTACAGAAGAAAATCAATGATTTAAATGAACAACATCATATACAAAATGAACAAGTAAAATAGAGTTTTTTTATTTTTTGTTTTTTAGAGACATGAAATTTATTTAGAAACAAAATGAATTAAAAACACTTCGCAAAGAATTAGAATATTCAAAAGGAAATTCAAATGATTTAATAATTTTGAAAAATTCATTTAATGAAATTGAAAAACGGTGTGTTAAACATCAAAAAAGTGAAATTGAAGTTAAAAAACAATTAACAGCTTACAAAGAATATATTGTAAGTGTATTCATATCAAATTTAGCACTCCTTAAAGATTTATCTACGCGTATTTATAGGAAAAAATATTTCATAAATTTTCTTTTTTTGTTTAGGATGAATTACAAAATAAAGTTCAAGATTTAACAGAACGATTATCAGCTGGAGCTGATGAATATAAAATTCTCTATCGTAAATATGCAGCACTTGAACGTATGATTGTAAAAGCAAATATACAATGTCCACCTTTACCAAAAACAAATCCAACAACATTATCAAATGAAACTGGTCTTAATGAAGAAGCATTAGTTACTCTTCTTCGTAATTCATATGAACTCCAACAACAAGACCGACGTCAAGAAGAAGAAGAAAAAGATGAAGAACAAGAGATAGATGACGAAGAAGAAGAACAAATAACAATAGCAGCAGCAGCAGCAGTAACATCACAAACATCGCCTACAAGTGAAGAAATACGTGAATGTCCAATGTGTTATTGGGAATTCCCAAAACATTTAACACTTGAAAACAAAAAAGATCATATTGAAAATCATTTTAATTAAATTGACAATAAAATGAAATATATAGATTTGTATATAAAATGAACAGATTTCTTTTTCGGATATACTTTTGTTCTTTCGATCTTTTTCTCATTTTAATTAAGCTTTCATGAAACTTAAAATTAATAAATATGTAAACATGATGATTTCATTCTCTCTCTTTTTTTCTCGTTCTTCAATAAAATTTAAATCCCATTCTTCTTCTTCTAATTATTTATTTAAAAAGAAAATAATTCTATATATAATTTTGTTGAATATATCTCGGAATTCGAAAAAGTTCTAACAGAAGAGAATGATAATATTCTTTTATAAATGTTTATGGTTGTCTTCGTCAATCATGATTATCGTCTACCGAGTGCCATTCTACTTTACTGTGCTCTGCACTTCTATTCGCAAATATATATAGGCATGTACGTTGAGAGTATGGGTATTGTGTCCATGCTTTATCCACACCCACACCTTCTAGCTAAAATTAAGACTCTTGCCAACAGGAATGTGACAGTTCCAGTTCGAAAGAACTGAACATGAGCTTTCACAGTCCTACTTATCAAACATTTCGAGCGCGATGAACACCTCGTGAAACTTTCTTTATTCGCAGCTAGTAGAAAGTGAACTATATTATTTCTCTTCTTTCTTGTGCATGTTTCTTTGCTGAATCTTTTGTTCAAAATTCTCCGGATTTTGGGACAGTACTATTTTGTTTAGTAGGAGTTGAGTACATCAATTGTCGCTATTCGGAGATACAATCAGTATTTATATCAATCATCAGATACGTAAATTAGTTCTATTTTTGGTCTAGAAATTTTGACATTTCCTAGAGACATACTTGTTGTTTACGACTTTCCTACTAATTATAGAACAACTTTGAGTCCTATATCTTCTTCGAAATTCATTTATTTTAAATATCATCATCAAGTAATTGTATAGCACGTACTCCACGCAACGATGGTGTTAATTTAGGTATTTCATTTAACGATAACGATGAATCCGTACTAATATCTTCACTAATCGTTGATTCACTCGATATATCATTGTCCTTAGCTAATCTATAATAATATCGTCTTAAACGTTTAAAACAATAGATTGATAATGTTAGTAATATACATAATAAAAAACCTGTTAATAGAAAAATAATAAGAATAATATCTTTTGATTTATCATGTGATACAGATAATATTTCATTAGAAATCGTTGTTGATGTTGGCGGAATAGAAATATATGAACAAAATTCTTGTTCACTTTCTAAAAATATTTTCTGATTATGAATTACATAAATAGTTTGTAATAATGTTATTTCATTTCCACAATTAATAATTATTTTCATTGATAAACGTGTTATATTATGAAGATTATAATGAATTCTTATATGAGAATTTTGTAAATATAATTCAATAAGTAATACACGATATGCTTGATATTGAAATTGAAATATTCTTTCAATATATTCAATATTAATTTCTTCAAATAGAATTTCTTTAATTATAATATGTAAAGTATTTTGTTTTATACTATTATCATCTTTATGAAATAAATCATAAATATATTGTTGATGTAATTGAAAAAAATCTTCGAAAATATCTTGTGTATTAAATATTAATTGAATACATTGAAGTTTTATTGTTAAACATTGATTATTTTCTTCAAATTTAATATATTCAGATTTAATTAATGTTTGAATTGTACATTGTAAACATTCGGTATAATAATTTTCAATATTTGTACTATGATTAACACTTTGTTTAATTAAACATTCGTTTATTAAGAGATTATTAGTAAATTCGAGACAATCACCATGAATATATGGAAAAAAATATAGTAAAAGAAAAAATATCATTTGAATCAAAATATATTTGCGCCTTTTTTTCGGATAGACTTCATATTGTCAATAAAAACTTGTTTAGTATTAATGGCAAATATTTCGTGGCTCTCTAACAGTCATAGTAAAGATGTCGATTGTGGCGGCGGCAGCTTTTCTATGACAGAAATTTTAAAAACTCAGGAATTTATACAAAATCTCGACTTTAATATATGCTGCACGATAACGCTTGAAGAATCTTATTGATAAGTAGGAGCTACTCTAGTTTAAACTGATCACAGCCTTGAAAATTCAAAGATTTTTTAAAACGCCATCGCGGTAGCATTTTATGACTATCGGCGCGGTGCGGCAGTGGGTGGATGTGAGCGAGAGTAAAAATAACAGCACCCACACGCACACTGTCACTCATACTCTAACTCTTATCTACACCCAAGCTTTAAACGAGCCTGAGCCCAGACCCAGCGCGACAGGTCCAGTACATCCGTACATGTGACATGGCTTGAGAAATTGGCAATCATTTCTTCGTATGAAATCTAAACATGTATATTGTATATTTCAAATCAATATTAAACATAAACAAATATAGAATATATGTGTTAAATTATTTTTAACATTTTATTTATTATAAAAAATTTCTAATTAAACGAACTAAAATATACTACTACTATCACTTGATATTGAATTATTTTCATTAGATAATATACTTCCTCTTCGTTTGCGATCTATATCAATTTGTTGATTACTTCTTTTACATAACATATATATACAAAAAGTAAGTAATAAACATGGCAATAAACTACCACCACTAACTAAACTAACAATAAGTATAATATTTTCTTCAGATTTCTTTGTAGAAGTTCTAGACACAAGAGTCGTTGTTAATACTTTAGTAGTTGTTTCTGTAATAACATTTGTTGTTAGAGCTGTGGTAGGAATAATAGGAGAGAAAGTTACTGGAATTTCACATTTGAGTGATTCTCGTAATGGTTCTCGATTGTATTGATGAAATACATAGTTATATTGATATAATCCTTTAGAAACACAAAAGATATTTATTTGTAAAGATAATAATGTCATATTTTGTATATCAGGATTTAATTCGAGTGAAACATTATCTTTGCGATTTAGTAAGGCAAATTGTAAACGAGAGTAACTACGATTTATTACATCATGAACTACTTGAACTGTACTAAAACTGAATTCCTTAATTCCACCATATTGAATATGAATAAAAAGCATATTTTGTGTTAATCGATCTGTTAAATTTTCTTTATCGAATAGACCATTTATGATCCGAATGTATTGCGAAACGAAGTTTTTATATGACTTAGTAGTATTAAAATATATCTGTATACAATGAAGATTTGAAATTGGTAAGCAATTTTCATTTGCAAGAGTTTCATTCCATACTGTCATTCGTTTTGTTATATTGCATATCAAACATTTTTCATAACTTTCACCACCCTCCCAGGACATTAATTCGCAATCATTAATATCAGTATAATTCACACCATTCTGACTGTATGTTAAACAAGATCCATAAATATTTGAAAAGAAATTAATAAAAAATAAAAGTATATATATCATAGAAAATCAAAAAGCGCGTATATATATATTAAAGAAATAGAAATATTGCGAAGAATTTATCTAATTCTAATACTGCGTATACTCTTTACATTTACATAATTACATGTTTTTTAAGTTTAGTCATATTTTTAGTTTTATATAAATATTGACACCATCCAACTTTACATCCATCACATCGACTTGAATCATGTGATATTATTTGTCCTCGATTTAAACGTTGTGGTTGATTACAAATTTCTTCGAATTCATCATCAATTAATTTAACATTATAAAATACTTTCAATATCCATAGATATAGACGATAAAATGTCTTTTTAATTTCTTTTTCATCAAGAAAACCAGTACTAAACGTGTTACATGTTTGACAACCTTGTTCAAATATTTTCATTTGTATTCGACCAATATTTTGACCATTGAGAGATTTATCTAATCGTGCACGAAAAAGTATTGTAGTAAATGCTGATGACCAACTATTGATTTTTTTCTTTTGTCTAAATAAATGAGATGTTGATTCAGTACATGACATACATATAAATTTTGAATGTGCATTATGTCGTCGAAATATCCAACCATTATTTGATTGTTTTATATTTGTACGAGTAAGATTAACATTATCAGGCATTATTTCTAATAACCATTCGGAAAGACCATAGAATTCAAAAGATGAATTAAATATATGTTGGAATATATGAAATGAAGTCATTTGATTAATGTTCGGAAGATATGTAGAATAGTATTATAAATATAATAAAGATTTTTGTCTTGTTTTTCTCATTTTTTACACATGAGTACATGTAAATATTATTCTTATTTTTGATCATCTGTTGCTTATCATCATTATCTACTTGTCCTAAGAAATTAATGTCTGTATTGATTAATGAATCAGATAAAAACAAGCCAAGAAATAAAAGAACAGAAGTCCCCTGTGCGCGCTCTATGTCTTTTCTCAAGGTCCAGAATTTTCTGCATGTTGATTACTAACGCATTTTTTTTATACATATGTAGTTCTTCAAGGATATTACAATAGTTATGTAGTCTTAGAAAACGTAAAATAGTTTCATACAAGACAATAAATCATACGAAATAGTCTAAATCATGTTATTGTTTTTCATGATATATATATAAGGTTTAAAACGACTGCATCTATAATCATGAATATTAATATTACTGTGATAACAGATGATCTAAAGTATTATTCATTTCACAATAACGATAAATACAATGATCAAAAGACGTTAAAATCAAGCAATTATGTGAAAGAAAAACAATATGACTTTGTTTTCTCATCTAACTATGTTATGAATGAACACACTGATGTGACCGTAGCATTCATATTATTATTTATTTGGCGGTCGTCTATCTTGAATGAAATGCTTTCATTCATTTACATTCTTAGTCAATTGTCATTATTGACCGTTCTATATATATATAATAATGGATAAAATATGATAGATTATTTTTTTTTCTAAAATTATGGGAAATACACAGACAAATGATATCTATATCAATGAACCACATCCATCCGATGTAAGAAAATATGAATTCTACATATTCAATTTATCCAAAAAATCTTTTTTTGTAGCTATGTGATTCACGTTCATTAATTGGTACATGGCGTGATACAAAATATGGTTCATGTATGAGTTTTGATTATATTTACAATGGAAAATCAAGTTATCTTATTGGTACATCATCAACAGGAGCTTATGCACAAGTACGTTTAAATGGTGCTATTGTCGATTTAGTTTTAATGTTAGCTGATGGTTGTTCGCTATGTCAATATAAAGGTCTATTAGAAATAAATAATGATGATAAACAAACACATACAATACGATGGATTAAAAAAAATATTAAAAATGGACAATGGTATACGACTAGTTCGTGGATGAAAATCTAAAATTGTGTATAGAAGAGAAGATAATGAGATGGTTTTTTTTGTTATTGTTTATTTATAGTAAATATATAAAAGTATGTAAATAAACTACTAAATATACATAATATTCTTATGTTATGATCAATTTTCTATGTATCGCTGAAATATACAAGTCTTTATTAGTGTAGGCTCTTGTGTTGTTCTAAGAAACTTAAATGCATCATTAACTTTCACTTATAAAAATTATACTCTTCATTTAAAGCATTATTTTATATCAAAGAGCATGTTAAGATATAGTACCTATCGTAGCTCGTTTTTCAATTGAGTTTTGTTATTATACTATTGAAAAATACTTCTATTTTGATCGCCATCTTTGAAGAACTTTTCGGATGGTTGAATTTGTCATGTCTTTTCTTCGCTTAAAAAGAAAATATTTAAAAAAAAAGCTACGACAGGCATTGTAAACTGACGTGTTCTTTTAAAGGAAGAGTACCTTTCTTATCGTACAACAATCATTGTCTACACGAAATTTGCATCAGTTTATCAACAATCGAGTGAATAATGCAATTGACTCATTTTTTTTATTACGCAGCTTTAATTTCATATTATATATAAATAAAAAGAAAAGAAAGTTGTTTATCGTATTTTTATAAGGCATTGAATTATAAGCATTAACGCTATGACTGCCAGTTTTATCGTTTAATTGTAATGTACTTGAATTTTTTCTGAAGTATTTCTTAAGTAAACGAACATATAAAAATTATTGTAGTATAAGTTTTAGCGATCGTTTTGTGAAATACGGTTTTTCAATTAACGTTAAAATAGTCTTTTAGATTTCACAAATTGATAATTTGTTACCATGTAATCATGAAACAACAAACGACAGCGGCCCAAATGTCTTTTATTCATTCTACGAATGATGACGAATTTAATGCATCACATCATAATATGATTTATATGAATGAATCTGATGAAGTTTACCAATTGATTATACAAAAAATACTTCATTTCAGTACATGTATTCATAATCAAATGTAGGGGCTTTTATCTTATAAGTTTATTCTAGTTGATGTTTATAATTTCATTTATTTTACAAGGAATATTTATGAATATATTGAATATGAAGACATAATATCAAACATATTGGTGAGATTTTTTTTCATTCGATAGAAGCTTTTTTTTCTAAAATGTTTTTTGTTAAAATCTTTATGCGAAATAATTATCTGTTTCTGTTTAGGATAATATGTATCTTTTTGATTTGTGTTTATCGTACAACGATTGTGACGAAATATCATGTGTCTGAAAGGAATGGGTATGTATTTTTTTATTTAAGAAAAAAGAAAGAATTTGATTTATTTTTTTGAAGATTTTTTCCATTCCGCATATTTCATTACATCTGTCATATTCAAAAACAAAAAATTTAGATATAAAAGTTAATAATCTTATGACAGAAATTACAAAAGTCAAAGATGATATTCAGCATCTTAATAATCAATTAATTAGTTATTATAGTTCCTTCCAACGTTTAAGTGAAGAATATTTGAAAATACGAACGAATTCGCAAGAAATAAATATTAAACAAAAACGAGAAGATATTCGTGATGCTACATCTAATGGATCACTTGTATGGAAAGTTGAAAATTTCACTCAAAAATGGAGTGAGTAATGAATTTCTTGAGAAAGTTTTTCTCAATTTTATGAATTTTAGACGATGCTCGATCGGGACGACAAATATCAATTGAGTCACCATTATTCTATTCATCACCAACTGGCTACAAAATGTGCGCTCGATTACATATGTATGGTGATGCTGATGCTCATGGTACACATATGTCCATGTTTCTTGTTCTTTTGAAAGGAGAATATGATGCAATTCTAACATGGCCATTTAATTTTCGAGTAACATTTTGTTTGTTTGATCAAACTGGTCAAGGATATCATATTGTTGATTCATTTGATCCTGATACAACATCACCTAGTGTTTAAAGACCCAATTCAAATATGAATACTGCTGGTGGAATACCGAAATTTTGTCCATTAGCAGTCATCGAGCAATCAGAAAATTATTATGTTCGTGATGACACAATGTTTATTAATATTAAAGTCAACTTTAACGATGAACTAAAGATACCTCTACCATATACAGCACAAGATAATCCTGGATTGCCGATACATATACAAGACACCATACGTCTTGAAAGAATGAAACAATGTCAGCAACTTCAAGAAAAACGTGATGCTGAAACTAAATGTAATGACAGAGAAATATTGGATCGTAGTTTAATTCATCAAAGTCTCTAATAGTCAAACAACTATTATCGAAATTAGTAATTAACTCTGAAAGTATACTTTATAAAGCTATTTTTAAATGATTAATATGGTGATACAACACATTATACTATATATTTTATTATTATTCTTGCACACTATTTTGTTGATATATAGTTATCGTAGTTTGTGCGAATTTTAAAAGCAAAGGTGTCGATGATTGATAGTCCTATTTTGTGTTCCGATTCTCAACAGTGGATTTAGTTTGTTTATAGAAAGCGTCGAAAAAACATGATTTTGACTATGAACTTGTTATTTATACATTTCGAGATATGAATAAAACGACAGAAAAAAAAGTAAAAGCTAGGAGCTATTTTCTTCTAGCAAATGTTTTACAGTTGAAAATGCAGCTGATGATAGATAATAAATCAGATAGATTGTTAAATAATGAATTATCAGCGTTCTTTTAACATCTCAGGTCCATCAGTCCCATACTCAGATCCGATCGGATCCTATGCCAGATTCTATCGGAATCCGACGATCTGACAAAATTCCATAGGATTCATAATGACGGAATCCAATGCAAATCCGTTACCAGAAATCCTATCGGATGATCGGATCCAACGTTGGATTGGTTGACCTGGGTAGGTGTTAGTTATGGGTTTCAACTATCTCTTTCTCAGCCTGATCCACAGAAACACTCACACTCACATCCTCTTTAACATTCACCTAGACATTCTCACGCATATTCACATTTACATCCCCAATATGAATGCATTTGTATTTCTATAGACAAAGATCATAATTGCATTGCTCATATCGCTTCAATTCTATGGATTGACTTCCAGTCAATCATCAGAAGATTTCTTGAGTAATCATTTTTATTTTTATCTTTATTTTAAATATATAAGTATGTACATACAATCACAATGACATGAAGCCCAACGAAATATAGCAAAAGAGAAACGACAGCATGTATATTTATATAAGATTATGTATATGCAGAGTATAATATGAGAAAATAAACACAAAAAAAGATGGCGATATGCAAGCGAAGATAGCATATAAAAAAGAGATATGTTCAAAGGTTGAACACTTATGAAAAATCAAGAAAAAGTCAACATATCAACCGGCTTTTTTAAAGTTTTACTTCATAACGATTGAGGAAGGACATTTGTAATTTATATTTAAGGTATT